GGGTCAAGGATCTTGCTGGGGAGCTCAGAGTGGACCTGCAGAGATAGGTGGATCTCTGGGAGGGGCCTGGGACTCCAGCAGAGGACTGGAGATGGGATCAGAGACAAGCAGGTGGAAATTACAGGTAGTCCTGCATGGATAGGCAGGTTTCCTTTGTTCCCTCAGCCTGCTTTCTTATAGAACCTAGGACCTCCAGCCGGAAGATGGCTCCACCCATAATAAACTGGGCCATCCCCCATTGATCACTAATGGAGAAAATGCCTCAAAACTGGATCTCATGGCAGCATTTCCCCAACTGAGGTTCCTTCCTCTCTGATGACTCTAACTTTGTGCCAAGTTGACACACAAAACCAGCCAGTACAACAGGGGATCACCAAAGTTGAATTGTATATTGGAAATGTTGGTTTCAATAGCAAACTATATGCTCCTATTTGAGGATGGAGCCCTAGACCAAAGAAGCCAATGGAGAGACAGTGTGCATAGAGCACGGCCTGGATATGTGAAGGGAGTTCAGGTACACAAAATAACCCCAGGCCAAGATCTATAGGAGTAAGTGTTAAAGTGAGTCAGTCCAATGCTGGTTTCCCAGCTGTCAGTCTGGGGGTCCATTAGCTCCCCCTTGTTCAGGTCAGCTGTCTCTGTGGGTTTCTGTAGCCTGGTCTTGTATTCCTTCTCTGCATCTGGATTCCAGTTCAGCTCAGTGTTTAGCTGTGGGTATCTGCTTCTGTTTTCATCTCTATGATCATCACATCAATCTCATTATCAGGGAAGAGCATTTAACGTATCCTTTCCACTGTTACTCAAATTATTAGTTTAGGTCAGATCCCCTGAACATGGAACTCAATTAGAAGGCCTGGGCAGTGTAAGGGACCTCTGACAGTGGAACCAGGATGTATCCCTGGTGCACAAAAGGACTTTGGGAGCACATTCCCCATGAGGGATACTCCCTTAACCTAGAGACAGGAGGGAGGGCCTAGTCCCTGCTCCAAATGACTTGATAGATTTTGTTGATCCCTCCTGGAAGGCATCACCCTCCCTGTGGAGTATGTTGGGGGAATGGGATGAGAGGGTGGTTGGGCGGGCATGGGAGGGAGGGAGAGTAAGAGGGAGAGGGAACTGCAATCGATATGTAAAATAGATAAGTAAAAAAAGATCACCAAGAGAAACAAACAAAAAACAAAAACAAACAAACAAAAAAAGAGTTAAAATGATTAGATTTAAAGTAAAAATTATCAGAACTTTCATGGAAAAAAAATTAGCAGTCTTAAGAACTGTCTAGAGGGCTTAAATGCATAGCCATTTCAAGAATAGCAATGAGTTATAAAATATGTGTTTATCTTCATGGTGCAATTCCACTCTATGAATTATTCCTAAATATGGAACATAATGAAACATGTAACCAAATGCTTATATGCAGGAAGGGTGAGTTCAACATTATTAGTAATGACAGAAAAGAGGAACTCATGTAAAAGCTACAGAAGATCACATCATGGTATATCCATCATAAGCAGTCTAATGGAAATCTTTAAAATCATGTTACCCAGCAGCATGGTGTGGCACAAAGCCAGTACCCAGTAAAAGTTGTTTTTATCATTATTTAAACATAAGGATAACAGTTTATTAAAAATGCATGTTCCTGAAACATAAGAATATCTGTTTCAATTTCAGTTATAGAGTATTGAATTCTTCCAATTGCATTCTTATTATTATTTAAATATATTTTAATGATATTCATTCCCTTACCTCAAGTATTCTCAGGTCCTCTCTACCTCCCACCTGCTCAATTTCTTGTCATTTTCTCTCTCTCAAAAACAAGAACAACAACAACAAAAGTAGATCATTAAGATGAAGATACAGAAACAATACAGAAAAAGCACACAAAAAACATGAAGCTCATTCTGTGTTAGGCAATGAAACTTGGGTATGGGCTTTCCCTAAATGTCACTCAATGCCACTATCTTAGAGAAAACTGATTTTCCCTTTGCCAGAAGTTATCAATTACAAAAACTTCAATTTATTGCTGCTCCTTTAACAAAATACATTTTCCCATAGGCTCAAGACCTGTATATTCCCAGATTCTTGTCCACTTTCACCATGCAAGATATAGGTTCCATCTCATGGAGTCGGCCTTAAGTCTAACCAGGATAGTTGGTTATTTACATAACATTTGTGTCACTACAGCACCAGTAAATCTTAAGGGCAGGTTGCTTTTGTATGTCATATAGCTTGTGGTTAAATGATATTGATGATTACCTTTCTCCTCTGGTAGCATTCAACATAATGAATGCTAATTAGTAGAAATGAAAGTTCTACTTAGGCACCAACAAAACTTTCCTGTGCTCAATGACATAAGAAAGCACTGTCTTTAGTAGTAGGACTTTACAATCAGGTTGTAGAGAGGAACCAATAGCCTTGACCATAACCTACAAAGTTTGTGGGGTTGGGAGGTCTTGTAGGAATTCCCTAGTCAATGACTCAACAAAATATAGCCAATTTCTTGTACTAGAATTTTAGTCAGTGTCATAATATATCTAAATGGGGCCCTGTCTCCTTCATTATTTGGTAACTCTCTTTAAATTTCTTTCATTTATATATATTAAAACTTCTATGTAGTAGGTTTCCACATGACTTTTCAAAAAGTCTTTAATGTTAGTTGCCCCAGTCCCCAATGCTCTCCTTTAACTTGCCCTTCTATACCCTTTTCCATTTAAGGCCTTGTTGTACTAGTCTATGTAACAACAACCCATGCCTACTCTCCATTGTTCTTACTGCTTGATTTTAGAATTAGTTCCATGATTCTCAAGAAGTCTGCATTACTTGTTATGACTGCAATTTTGATGCAATATATGATTACTTTGAAAAGAAATGATATTACAATACTCAGTATTTTCATCAAGGAGCAAAGTTGTACTCTGAAGACTCATCATTATGTTAAAAAGCCAAATAGCTTATTCACAAGGCAAGTCATATTTATATGACACTCTAGTCTGTTTATTTCTAGAGTATTCCTTATAAAGTTGGAGTCATAAATAGATCTCTGTGTGGTCTCTAAATGGTGGTCACTCATACAGCAGGGAAGCATATGGACTTTATAAGCTGCTTTTGTATTCAATCACGTACTTCTTATGTTAGTTCAATGACTCATTAGCTGATGGTTTCAGGTTGCTCTGTTGATTGACTGGCACTTTACCAGGCATGTGTATCCCCAAGCCTATTTCATTGGCTCTGAATATTCAGAATTTATGAACTATTGTAAGTGATGGAAGAATAAGTAAAAGCCTATTCTTGTTTCTGACTCAAATGTTTTGCCTCAAGTATGAAGAATATTGCAATTTAAAATAAAATACTGACTGAGGAATTTTCTTCCAATGTTAAAGGAAGAATGCTTGCTTTACTTGCTAAGAAACAAGGGCTAGGTTTATTCTATGCTACTAATATATTAAAAAATACCTTATGAACAAGTCTTTAATCAGTGGCAATTGTTATGCTGATGGAATTTAAATAAGGTGGTGAACAAGAAGGGAAAAAGAAAATGATAGCCTTAATGCAATGGATGGTCTCCCAATGTAAATTAATAATCTTGGAGAGCTGGAGAGATGGCTCAATATTTATGGAAGTGTGCCGCTCTCACAGAAGACTCAAGTTTAATTCCCAGGACCCACATTGGATTTGTAACAATGATCTGTAATTCTAGCTCCAGAAGATCTGGAGCTCTCTTCTAGTCTCTTAGGGCACTGAACTCACATATAGAAAGTCACATGCATGTATACACATGAAGTTTATTTTTAATTTAAAAAATGTTGACAGGACCAAATTTTGGCAAAACAATAATTCTTGTCATCATGAGCTTTTGGGTTGAGCTGGGTCTTTGTCTTTGGATTCTGACTATTTTAATGTTATGTTGTGCTATATAGAATAACAAAAAACAATGTTGGTTCAATGAGAGGGAAACATTCTGGGTTGACTTCAGACCCTATATTGGAGAGAAATTACTGAAAAGAAGACATTGTAGAGGATCAAGTTTCAGAGAAATAAATTTGATTGGAGATTGTTCAATTTGAGGTGCCTATAGAACATTCAAGAAAAAAAATAATATACCTGGATTTAGAGTCAAAAGAAAACAGGACATAAAGAGTTCTGGGTAGCTATGGGTTTGCAGAGTGTATAATACAAGTCATATACAGCAATTATATGAAGGGGACAGGGAAGGCACTGCCCTGGTGATGGTCTTAGCACAAACAGCCATATGCAGACCAAAGGGAAAGAAAAGATAATAGTCTGAATGTGGGAAGTTTCAGACATAGAGGAGAACAAAGTGATGAGAAAGAGAGTGTTCTTGGAAACACATGGGATGCTGGTGAACTAACTACAGAATTGTTTGAGAGGTTACTTTTGTCTTTTGTGTAAAAATTCCAGGAAACCATGAAGGTGACAAGCAAATAGATGGATTTTTTGCGGCCAGTGCTGGGTATATGTATATATAAATATAGGTATGGATTATGTGTGTAGATAAATAGAATAGTGAACAGAATCTGCATATGAGCTCTACCTCTGTAGGTAGAAATTAAAAAGAATTCTCTTTATGGAAGTTTGTGGTCCTGTGTCCTTGGTTCCAAAGAAGATAACCAAATGGGACAATGTGAAATTTGAGGAAAAACATCTCAGTCTGTAAAATAAGGCTAAAAAACTTTGCACTCTATGTCACACAACAAAGACACCTGAAATAATGTGTCACTAAAGATTTTTGGGATCTTCTGTATTGCTGTCACCACTGTTAGTATCAGAGATAGGGTAAAGTACTCATAGTATAGAAACTCCATGGTGGTGCCTGTCTGACAAGGACACAAGCCTGTGAAAAGGATTATCTTCCATGTATCTTCAAGTGAGGTCACAGCTCCACCCATGAAAGCCAGCTAGTGTTTTGATCCAACCCAGCTGCCAGAGAACAGGCCCAGGTGCTGACCCCACAGGTTTTGGTTTGAGTCTCAGTCACTGTGGTATGTTTTCGGCAGCGGAACCCATCTCACTGTCTTAGGTAAGTGGTTTTAATCCTCCTTTGTTGTCTTAAAAGGGTCTGATTTTCCTCTCTGGGAACTTCTTCTCCTCTGTCCTTCTCAGACTTAAGGACCAAGTCTTACCCTTTTCCGTAATGGCTAGGGGAGATGGGCCATTTTAGAGTAACCTGCAGGAAGGGCCAGAAGATCAGAAGCAGCTGGCCTCAGAGTCTGATAAATATGCTGTGATTTCATGAGCTTTAGTTAGGGTCTGGCCAGAGTTAAGGGCTTAATCCTTGTTCTCAAACAGATTAATCATTGACAACCATTGACATGGTCAAAGAAGGGGACTGGTACTTTGTGAGAGCCCACAAAATCTTTATAGAGTGTCAAGAGTTGGATCTAGAGATTAAAGTCGAGCTTCCAGGGACTTAGATTACCTAAGTGAGGACCACAGAGGCATAGTAAAAGAGTAGGCTTGTAATAGTCTTCAGTTCTCTGATCTTTTACTGGGTTACTGAAGTTCTATAGACATAGAGAAAACACTGATTAGTAGGGTAACCAGATCCTGGTCATCTCAGGATTATCTGGAATTTGGTCAACAAATCTCTTTAACCCTAGGTAAGCTTCTTTAAATAGCATATTAAAATTGGGAGATCAGGAATGAGTGACAAACTGAGGGTTTCACAATACTACCTGGATGTCAGGGAAGGAGGCTGCTTTTGCAAACAAGTGGAGGCTATGCTTTTCCATCCAAGGCAAAGAACTTCTAGAACATGACCAGGATAAAGGGTATAGTGGTCAGGTCAAAATGAGCAGAGGTATTAGAGCCCCAGAGTAGCCTCAGATCTCTGTATGGAACTCACTACTCAGTGAAAAAGCTTAGGGGATTGATGTGGAGAGCCTATTGTCCAATATAACCAGAGACTCAGTGACCCCAGGTGCTGGGAACAAAGACGGGACCTCCTCACTTATTGAAAATACAATATTCAAAGCAAGGTGGAATGTAACATATTCACCAGAGAGCTCTGACCACCACAGGAATAAAGGGCAGATAGCTGGGCTGGGGAAGGTGATCAGATATTGGGCAAATTTCAAGTTAGATCATAGACAACAGGGTGGAGAGAGCCCAGACATACCTGCTAATAGTGGGATAATAGAGGCAGAAAGGAAGAGTCCAGGTCACGTAACTTGGGAGGGTATCCTGGAAAAGGCTACTAAGAAGACTTCACTCATTGAGTCTCAAGGGGACAGACGAGAAAGAAGCAAAAGTTCAACGTGAATAAGATGACCAAAGTGAAGAGTCACTGAGATTCTGAAGTTTTTTATCTGTCTCATGAAATCCATCTCTGTCTTTTATTCATACAGGTGGGACCAAGTCCACTCCCAAAGTCACAGTGTTTCCACCTTCACCTGAGGAACTTCAGACAAACAAAGCCACACTGGTGTGTCTGGTCAATGATTTCTACCCAGGTGCTGCAACAGTGACCTGGAAGGCAAATGGAGCAACTATCACTGATGGGGTGGTGACTACAAAGCCCTCCAAACAGGGCCAAAACTACATGGCCAGCAGCTACCTAAGTTTGACAGCAGACCAGTGGCGATCTCAGAGCAGCGTTTCCTGCCAAGTTATGCATGAAGGGAATGTTGTGGAGAAGAGTTTATCCCCTGCAGAATGTCTCTAGGAGTCCAGTCTTCTTCTTACAGAGGAAGCCTGGAGCTAGGAGACCCAGAATGTAGTCTTTTCTCTATACTATACTCCCAAACCTCTCTTACCCTCTGAGTATTCAATAAAATATCATGAGTTAATCAGAGGTCCTGCCTTGTCCCATTTGTTCTCATTATATATTTAATTTCTAATCCTTTGAATCTACAATGTGGGGAGGTGGGATCAGGTTCCCAGTGAGTAACTAGTTCGCCTTTGAATTGTGTGGATTCTTGCAATGAACTTAGAGATTTTTATTATATAATATAAAACATTAATATTTATGGTTCTCTATAATGGGGCATGCAGTGGGATAATCACTCAAGCAATATAATGGGATACAATGAGAAATGGATCCAACCTGATCTCAGAAGGGGTGCCAAATAATTGTTCATAGGAAGTGGCTTCAGAGTAAAATTCTAGACTACTCAAGGCCATGTGATGGGAGGTCAAGAAAGACCGTGTGTGGCCTGAGAACTAAACTCAAGCCAGTTGCATGGGTAGACTTAGGTATAGCAGATATCCACTCTATAGGCCCAAGTCCTCTCATGTTCATCATCACACCAGTGTATACTTCAATTTAGTGTCAACCACAGTATTTGGCATTGACAGTCAGCCTTCAGTGGACCAGGCTCTGTCCAAGTCATTAAGTATTTAGTGTTCAGAGCTTGGAGATTCTATAGCTCATAAGCATTACGGACATGGACTACATCCAGAAATCTGACGGATCAGACAGTCTAGTAGCACAGTCTGCCAAACTAGAAATATTCTTCAACAATGAGGCAGAGTGACAGGTGACAATATAGAGCTTGCTCTCAGGCCACCAAATCCCCAGTTTCTGAACTAAAAAGAATCTTTGGAATTTGTACCCAAAGTCTGTGCTCAGTAATTGGAAGAGAAGATCCTGTGTATCCTCACAGAAATGTTCCTTGTTGAGACAATGCCAACACTCATCTATATCCAGATATATTGTTCAGAGACTTACTTCCTTATCCTTTTGTTTCAAGTCTTCACTGAAAAAAATGGACACAAAAATATGAAACACAGAAATAGTAATGTTTCCATATTCCTATCAAGCAGCCTCTAACACTCATTTCACTTGGATTTTGACTCAACAATAACTATAGCATAAATTTCCTCCCTTTTGTTAAGATAGCATATTCCAGAAGTAATATCTCATCTGTTATTATGACAATTCTGGGTTTACTAAAAGAATGCCTAGATATATCAATCTTCAAAAGAAGTTACTGATTATTTCTTTATATTAGGCAACAGTCAAGTTGTCATCAAATGATTACATGAAATGGCCCTACAGTGTTCAGTAATAAATTCTTGGTAATAATTCTACCACATGTAGGAAGAGGAGATGTGGATTGAATGTGGGTTGAAACTCATGGTGTGTGTGTGTGTGTGTGTGTGTGTGTGTGTGTGTGTGTGTGTGTGTGCGTGTGTTCTCCACCTGATGTCTTTTACAGGGTCTCAGACATCTCTCTTTGTTCTTGGCAGGAGCTGCAGAGACTGAGTAAATGGTCCCCAGACTTTGTATAGACTCCATGCAACTAGTAGCTTCCTTGAGCTGTCACCAAGGGCTCCTCTCTTATCCTGTAAAGAGCTTCTTCCAAAGAGAGGATGAAAGTTTAATGGATGATTTTCTGGCAAGGCTGGACTAGAGGACTTATGGGATCCTAGGAAGAAGACTCACCACATGCCCAGAATCATCAGGAAATACATTCATTACAGCTGGAACTGGAGGGTAAGCTGCATGTAGGGTTTTTGTATGAGCCTATACCATAGTGTTGGGTGTTCGGTGGAGGCACCAAAGTGACTGTCCTAGGTAAGTGACTCCTTCCTCTTCTGTTACTTCAGTCTCCAAGGTTTGAGATGATTTGTTTTTTGGATTATTTCTCATTCTCTATTCTACTTCATGCTTCAACTTCACTCTAGGTAAATAAACTCTTGGTTCTCTAGATTTTGTGTCTCACCTCAGATGGTCCCCTGTTGCCTTTCATGTCTAATCTCAAGGGCAGAGATATACAGTGCTCTGATAAGTACTCCATGGTGTCATTTTTTCTGACTCTCTATCTTTCTGGTGAACTTTGTGAGATGTAAAGTGAATTTCTATCTCATGGGGAAGGAAGACCAGAGGCATAGAACTGTTGATTTAGGAGAATGTAGGACATTGAGCAATGAGGCTAGTAAGTAGTTTGTCAGCCATCAGGGAAACTGGATAGTGGAACTTGCAACTTCTTTCCTAGGACAGGCAGGAAATACCAAGAATCCCCAAGCTCCCATGGAAAGCAATGAACAGAGCAGTAACCAATCTAGAATCCAGGAATTTTAGTAAGGAGAAGAAAGGGAAGGGATCTCTGGACACAGGAAGTCAAGAGAAGAGAGACTGAAAATGTGGTTGGGAAGCTGGGTTCCTCTATCTCTTTAAGACACTATTATTGGGAAAACTGAGCAACTGTGTTATCATAGATCTGGTCCTGATGCAAGAAAATGACATCTCATCCAGAGCAGGGAATCTCACTTTACTCTTCAGAATGAGATACAGTTCAAGTAGGTACATGCTTTGCTGAGCAGAAACCACAGACCCAGGAGGCACAGTTTTGGGTAAAAACAATCCCTTAGATTTAACATTTAGTCTCAGCAGAGGTTTTTACATTAGAGCTATCCTCAGAGTAGGACAGGGAGGCTACAGACATATATAAAAATCAGAGGGAAGGATACAGGGGCAGGAAAGGGAAGGTCAGGTGTCTGTGTTGAAAGTCATAGTGCAGGGAAATTTTAACTGAAATGTTGCGCAAATGTAGGGTGTATAATTCCTAGGCACACAGGAAGAAAAGGCATACCCCATTTGCTGTACTCTTGTCTGTTCCAACACAGCTACTAAACTCAGGACATTTTACACACTATCTCCAGTAATGCTATAGGAAGACCAAGATTATGACCTTCTCTTCCTTCACCCCACAGGTCAGCCCAATGTCGCACCTTCAGTCACACTGTTTCCACCTTCCTCTGAGGAGCTCAAAACCAGCAAGGCTACACTGGTGTGTATGATCAATGACTTTTATCCAGGTGATGTGGAAGTGACCTGGGAGGCAGATGGTACACCTATCACTCAGGGTGTGAAGACCACTCAGCCTTCCAAAAGGGACAACAAGTACTTGGCCACCAGCTTCCTGACCATGACAGCAGAAGCATGGAAATCGCAAAACAGCATCAGCTGCCAGGTCACTCATGGAGGGACCACTGTGGAAAAAAGTTTGTCCCCTGCAGCATGTTCTTAGGCCTTTCAACATTCATCCTACCCACAGAGGCTGGATCACGCACAAGTATACCTTTACTGCTTTTGCCTACCATAGCCATTCTCCCTGTTCCTGAAATGCACAATAAAATATTCATTCTCAACCTGTATTTCTACTCTACATCATTTATTTTATAGTATATTTCACTGGGATTCAGAGTATGTGGATGTCCTGTCACCTTGTAGTTTGCAAACAGGGTTGTACCCTGCATCGTCACCCTAAAGGGGAGTACCATCTCCACACAGTAACAATTTCCAAGCTTTCATTTGAATCTCTGCTCACACCATGCAATTGTACAGTGTGTCATTGACTTCCTTAATTTCATTCTTTAATAGACATAATCATGTGTAACATTTCTAACAATCTGTAGTGCCTCATCAACTTTTCATACAATTACTATTTAGAGACTGGAACATTCTATTAGATGTGATCTCAGTTCTATTATTCAAGTAAAAATGAATAGATAGTATTGTGGAATTGGAAGTTTACTACAATCAATACAAACAAGTAAAATCAGGCTAAAAATAGAGTGTATATGGGGGTTCGTGCATGTGGTTGGGAAGCTGTATAGGAATATGAACTAAGGGAAGCAAAACATGATTCCCAGCCCAGTGTCAACAGGGGCATTCAGTGCTGGATGTGAGAAACCATGACAAGTTTCCATTTCAGAACTAGATTCTGGGGTTTGTCATACAACATCAGAACTGAAGGTACCCTACAGAGAACAAGATTATTCCTAGAATCCCCTTCCCAACAGCTCTCATTCCTTCCTTGGCTCAAGACACAATAGTTCAGGGTTGCCTGTATTCTGAGGTTACCACAGGTCCCTACTTGGGAACTAGTTAACCCCTAGCAATGCAGATATTGTTCAATACCATTGTTCTATAGTTCCTAGGACTTAAAGATGCATGACAACTTTTCATACACAGTTTCTTGTTGAGGAGTCATCCCTGTGACAGAGCCTGAAGGATCAGGGAATTTTCAAAACAATGGTGTGAGCAGAAAAGTGACAGCACCTGTGGATCCCAGCCACACTAAATCAAACCTTAGTCTCTGCATTAGAAGGACAGTAAGGAGATTATGCTGTAAGCAACTGATTTTCGTCCATGGTCCAAAAATCTGTGACTCAAAGTTGTCTCATTGGCCCTTCAGGGTTCAGTGCCAGAACCAAGCCCCTTCCCCAGCTTCTTCCCAGAGGAATACTTACTTCTTCATCATTTTGTTAAAACATTTTGTTGTTGCTGCTACTGTTCATTTGTTTTTTATTAGAGAGGATCTCTCTACATAGTCCTGGCTGCCCTGAAACTCATTGCATATACCAGGTTGGCCTCAAACTCACAGAGTTCTGTCTCCCTCTTTCACCAAAGTGCTTGGATCACAGGTGTGCACTACCATGGTCTGCTTGTTGCCATTTAATTACTGAGAACATTAAGCTAAAAATTCATTAACAAAGGTAAATTTCATAAGGTTCTATTCCCATCAACAAGTGATTACATAATTTTTGCAGTGTTGTTTAATGAATCCAGGTTCCTGCTAGTCAAATATTCTACTGCTGAACTACCTCCCCAAACCTTTTATTATTATGGTTACTTTTTATATTTTACTGGTACATATTCAATGTACATAGTGATGGGTTTCACAAAAATATTTTCATTCAAGAGCATCATTTGCTTTGACTATATACACCACCCTATACCTCATCTTTTTCCAAATTGCTAAATACAACATATGTTTGTTCTCTGTGGCTGAATAATTCCCAATTTTGTTCAAAAAATACATTTACTTTATTTTCTCACCTATG